TGCGTCGTCTGCAGGTAGCATGTCGGCGTGAAGTTCATGGCGTACATTTGATGTTTGAAGCCTTCTTCATTGACAAAACTGAAAAATACAATTACATATATTTATGTATATTAATATAAACTCCAAATATTGTAATGTGTGGTTCATTTTAAATTGTATAACATATAACGAAACTGTTACCAAGAAGACAACTTGTCATTACTTCTCCTGGTGCGTCGTCTGCAGGTAGCATGTCGGCGTGGAGTACATGGCGTACATTTGATGTTTGAAGCCTTCTTCAATGACAAAACTGAAAAATATAATTACATATATTTATGTATATTTTTATATAAACTCCAAATATTGTAATGTGTGGTTCATTTTAAATTGTATAACATATAACGAAACTGTTACCCAGAAGACAACTTGTCATTACTTCTCCTGGTGCGTCGTCTGCAGGTAGCATGTCGGCGTGGAGTTCATGGCGTACATTTGATGTTTGAAGCCTTCTTCATTGACAAAACTGAAAAATACAATTACATATATTTATGTATATTAATATTAACTCCAAATATTGTAATGTGTGGTTCATTTTAAATTGTATAACATATAACGAAACTCTTACAAAGAAGACAACTTGTCATTACTTCTCCTGGTGCGTCGTCTGCAGGTAGCATGTCGGCGTGGAGTACATGGCGTACATTTGATGTTTGAAGCCTTCTTCATTGACAAAACTGAAAAATATAATTACATATATTTATGTATATTTATATAAACTCCAAATATTGTAATGTGTGGTTCATTTTAAATTGTATAACATATAACGAAACTGTTACCAAGAAGACAACTTGTCATTACTTCTCCTGGTGCGTCGTCTGCAGGTAGCATGTCGGCGTGGAGTACATGGCGTACATTTGATGTTTGAAGCCTTCTTCATTGACAAAACTGAAAAATATAATTACATATATTTATGTATATTAATATAAACTCCAAATATTGTAATGTGTGGTTCATTTTAAATTGTATAACATATAACGAAACTGTTACCAAGAAGACAACTTGTCATTACTTCTCCTGGTGCGTCGTCTGCAGGTAGCATGTCGGCGTGGAGTACATGGCGTACATTTGATGTTTGAAGCCTTCTTCATTGACAAAACTGAAAAATATAATTACATATATTTATGTATATTTATATAAACTCCAAATATTGTAATGTGTGGTTCATTTTAAATTGTATAACATATAACGAAACTGTTACCAAGAAGACAACTTGTCATTACTTCTCCTGGTGCGTCGTCTGCAGGTAGCATGTCGGCGTGGAGTTCATGGCGTACATTTGATGTTTGAAGCCTTCTTCATTGACAAAACTGAAAAATACAATTACATATATTTATGTATATTAATATTAACTCCAAATATTGTAATGTGTGGTTCATTTTAAATTGTATAACATATAACGAAACTCTTACAAAGAAGACAACTTGTCATTACTTCTCCTGGTGCGTCGTCTGCAGGTAGCATGTCGGCGTGGAGTACATGGCGTACATTTGATGTTTGAAGCCTTCTTCATTGACAAAACTGAAAAATACAATTACATATATTTATGTATATTAATATAAACTCCAAATATTGTAATGTGTGGTTCATTTTAAATTGTATAACATATAACGAAACTGTTACCAAGAAGACAACTTGTCATTACTTCTCCTGGTGCGTCGTCTGCAGGTAGCATGTCGGCGTGGAGTACATGGCGTACATTTGATGTTTGAAGCCTTCTTCATTGACAAAACTGAAAAATATAATTACATATATTTATGTATATTTATATAAACTCCAAATATTGTAATGTGTGGTTCATTTTAAATTGTATAACATATAACGAAACTGTTACCAAGAAGACAACTTGTCATTACTTCTCCTGGTGCGTCGTCTGCAGGTAGCATGTCGGCGTGGAGTACATGGCGTACATTTGATGTTTGAAGCCTTCTTCATTGACAACACTGAAAATTATATTTACATATATTTATGTATATTAATATAAACTCCAAATATTGTAATGTGTGGTTCATTTTAAATTGTATAACATATAACGAAACTGTTACCAAGAAGACAACTTGTCATTACTTCTCCTGGTGCGTCGTCTGCAGGTAGCATGTCGGCGTGGAGTACATGGCGTACATTTGATGTTTGAAGCCTTCTTCATTGACAAAACTGAAAAATATAATTACATATATTTATGTATATTTATATAAACTCCAAATATTGTAATGTGTGGTTCATTTTAAATTGTATAACATATAACGAAACTGTTACCAAGAAGACAACTTGTCATTACTTCTCCTGGTGCGTCGTCTGCAGGTAGCATGTCGGCGTGGAGTTCATGGCGTACATTTGATGTTTGAAGCCTTCTTCATTGACAAAACTGAAAAATACAATTACATATATTTATGTATATTAATATTAACTCCAAATATTGTAATGTGTGGTTCATTTTAAATTGTATAACATATAACGAAACTCTTACAAAGAAGACAACTTGTCATTACTTCTCCTGGTGCGTCGTCTGCAGGTAGCATGTCGGCGTGGAGTACATGGCGTACATTTGATGTTTGAAGCCTTCTTCATTGACAAAACTGAAAAATACAATTACATATATTTATGTATATTAATATAAACTCCAAATATTGTAATGTGTGGTTCATTTTAAATTGTATAACATATAACGAAACTGTTACCAAGAAGACAACTTGTCATTACTTCTCCTGGTGCGTCGTCTGTAGGTAGCATGTCGGCGTGGAGTACATGGCGTACATTTGATGTTTGAAGCCTTCTTCATTGACAAAACTGAAAAATATAATTAATATATATATAATAACATATATTTATGTATATTAATATAAACTCCAAATATTGTAATGTGTGGTTCATTTTAAATTGTATAACATATAACGAAACTGTTACCAAGAAGACAACTTGTCATTACTTCTCCTGGTGCGTCGTCTGCAGGTAGCATGTCGGCGTGGAGTACATGGCGTACATTTGATGTTTGAAGCCTTCTTCATTGACTATACTGAAAAATATAATTAATATATATATAATTACATACATTTATGTATATTAATATAAACTCCAAATATTGTTATCTGTAATTGTATAACATATAACGAAACTGTTACCAAGAAGAGAACTTTTCATTACTTCTCCCGGTGCGTCGTCTGCAGGTAGCATGTCGGCGTGGAGTACATGGCGTACATTTGATGTTTGAAGCCTTCTTCATTGACAAAACTGAAAAATATAATTAATATATATATAATAACATATATTTATGTATATTAATATAAACTCCAAATATTGTAATGTGTGGTTCATTTTAAATTGTATAACATATAACGAAACTGTTACCAAGAAGACAACTTGTCATTACTTCTCCTGGTGCGTCGTCTGCAGGTAGCATGTCGGCGTGGAGTACATGGCGTACATTTGATGTTTGAAGCCTTCTTCATTGACAAAACTGAAAAATATAATTAATATATATATATATATATATATATATATATATATATATATATATATATATATATATATATATATATATATAATAACATATATTTATGTATATTAATATAAACTCCAAATATTGTAATGTGTGGTTCATTTTAAATTGTATAACATATAACGAAACTGTTACCAAGAAGACAACTTGTCATTACTTCTCCTGGTGCGTCGTCTGCAGGTAGCATGTCGGCGTGGAGTACATGGCGTACATTTGATGTTTGAAGCCTTCTTCATTGACAAAACTGAAAAATATAATTACATATATTTATGTATATTAATATAAACTCCAAATATTGTAATGTGTGGTTCATTTTAAATTGTATAACATATAACGAAACTCCTACCAAGAAGACAACTTGTCATTACTTCTCCTGGTGCGTCGTCTGCAGGTAGCATGTCGGCGTGGAGTACATGGCGTACATTTGATGTTTGAAGCCTTCTTCATTGACAAAACTGAAAAATATAATTAATATATATATAATAACATATATTTATGTATATTAATATAAACTCCAAATATTGTAATGTGTGGTTCATTTTAAATTGTATAACATATAACAAAACTGTTACCAAGAAGACAACTTGTCATTACTTCTCCTGGTGCGTCGTCTGCAGGTAGCATGTCGGCGTGGAGTACATGGCGTACATTTGATGTTTGAAGCCTTCTTCATTGACAAAACTGAAAAATATAATTAATATATATATAATAACATATATTTATGTATATTAATATAAACTCCAAATATTGTAATGTGTGGTTCATTTTAAATTGTATAACATATAACGAAACTGTTACCAAGAAGACAACTTGTCATTACTTCTCCTGGTGCGTCGTCTGCAGATAGCATGTCGGCGTGGAGTACATGGCGTACATTTGATGTTTGAAGCCTTCTTCATTGACAAAACTGAAAAATATAATTAATATATATATAATAACATATATTTATGTATATTAATATAAACTCCAAATATTGTAATGTGTGGTTCATTTTAAATTGTATAACATATAACGAAACTGTTACCAAGAAGACAACTTGTCATTACTTCTCCTGGTGCGTCGTCTGCAGGTAGCATGTCGGCGTGGAGTACATGGCGTACATTTGATGTTTGAAGCCTTCTTCATTGACAAAACTGAAAAATACAATTACATATATTTATGTATATTAATATAAACTCCAAATATTGTAATGTGTGGTTCATTTTAAATTGTATAACATATAACGAAACTGTTACCAAGAAGACAACTTGTCATTACTTCTCCTGGTGCGTCGTCTGCAGGTAGCATGTCGGCGTGGAGTACATGGCGTACATTTGATGTTTGAAGCCTTCTTCATTGACTATACTGAAAAATATAATTAATATATATATAATTACATACATTTATGTATATTAATATAAACTCCAAATATTGTTATCTGTAATTGTATAACATATAACGAAACTGTTACCAAGAAGAGAACTTTTCATTACTTCTCCCGGTGCGTCGTCTGCAGGTAGCATGTCGGCGTGGAGTACATGGCGTACATTTGATGTTTGAAGCCTTCTTCATTGACAAAACTGAAAAATATAATTAATATATATATAATAACATATATTTATGTATATTAATATAAACTCCAAATATTGTAATGTGTGGTTCATTTTAAATTGTATAACATATAACGAAACTGTTACCAAGAAGACAACTTGTCATTACTTCTCCTGGTGCGTCGTCTGCAGGTAGCATGTCGGCGTGGAGTACATGGCGTACATTTGATGTTTGAAGCCTTCTTCATTGACAAAACTGAAAAATAATAATATATATATATATATATATATATATATATATATATATTTATGTATATTAATATAAACTCCAAATATTGTAATGTGTGGTTCATTTTAAATTGTATAACATATAACGAAACTGTTACCAAGAAGACAACTTGTCATTACTTCTCCTGGTGCGTCGTCTGCAGGTAGCATGTCGGCGTGGAGTACATGGCGTACATTTGATGTTTGAAGCCTTCTTCATTGACAAAACTGAAAAATACAATTACATATATTTATGTATATTAATATAAACTCCAAATATTGTAATGTGTGGTTCATTTTAAATTGTATAACATATAACGAAACTGTTACCAAGAAGACAACTTGTCATTACTTCTCCTGGTGCGTCGTCTGCAGGTAGCATGTCGGCGTGGAGTACATGGCGTACATTTGATGTTTGAAGCCTTCTTCATTGACTATACTGAAAAATATAATTAATATATATATAATTACATACATTTATGTATATTAATATAAACTCCAAATATTGTAATTATCTGTAAATTGTATAACATATAACGAAACTGTTACCAAGAAGAGAACTTTTCATTACTTCTCCCGGTGCGTCGTCTGCAGGTAGCATGTCGGCGTGGAGTACATGGCGTACATTTGATGTTTGAAGCCTTCTTCATTGACAAAACTGAAAAATATAATTAATATATATATAATAACATATATTTATGTATATTAATATAAACTCCAAATATTGTAATGTGTGGTTCATTTTAAATTGTATAACATATAACGAAACTGTTACCAAGAAGACAACTTGTCATTACTTCTCCTGGTGCGTCGTCTGCAGGTAGCATGTCGGCGTGGAGTACATGGCGTACATTTGATGTTTGAAGCCTTCTTCATTGACAAAACTGAAAAAATAATAATATATATATATATATATAATAACATATATTTATGTATATTAATATAAACTCCAAATATTGTAATGTGTGGTTCATTTTAAATTGTATAACATATAACGAAACTGTTACCAAGAAGACAACTTGTCATTACTTCTCCTGGTGCGTCGTCTGCAGGTAGCATGTCGGCGTGGAGTACATGGCGTACATTTGATGTTTGAAGCCTTCTTCATTGACAAAACTGAAAAATATAATTACATATATTTATGTATATTAATATAAACTCCAAATATTGTAATGTGTGGTTCATTTTAAATTGTATAACATATAACGAAACTCCTACCAAGAAGACAACTTGTCATTACTTCTCCTGGTGCGTCGTCTGCAGGTAGCATGTCGGCGTGGAGTACATGGCGTACATTTGATGTTTGAAGCCTTCTTCATTGACAAAACTGAAAAATATAATAATATATATATATAATTACATATATTTATGTATATTAATATAAACTCCAAATATTGTAATGTGTGGTTCATTTTAAATTGTATAACATATAACGAAACTGTTACCAAGAAAGACAACTTTTCATTACTTCTCCTGGTGCGTCGTCTGCAGGTAGCATGTCGGCGTGGAGTACATGGCGTACATTTGATGTTTGAAGCCTTCTTCATTGACAAAACTGAAAAATATAATTAATATATATATAATAACATATATTTATGTATATTAATATAAACTCCAAATATTGTAATGTGTGGTTCATTTTAAATTGTATAACATATAACGAAACTGTTACCAAGAAGACAACTTGTCATTACTTCTCCTGGTGCGTCGTCTGCAGGTAGCATGTCGGCGTGGAGTACATGGCGTACATTTGATGTTTGAAGCCTTCTTCATTGACAAAACTGAAAAATATAATTAATATATATATATATATAATAACATATATTTATGTATATTAATATAAACTCCAAATATTGTAATGTGTGGTTCATTTTAAATTGTATAACATATAACGAAACTGTTACCAAGAAGACAACTTGTCATTACTTCTCCTGGTGCGTCGTCTGCAGGTAGCATGTCGGCGTGGAGTACATGGCGTACATTTGATGTTTGAAGCCTTCTTCATTGACAAAACTGAAAAATATAATTACATATATTTATGTATATTAATATAAACTCCAAATATTGTAATGTGTGGTTCATTTTAAATTGTATAACATATAACGAAACTGTTACCAAGAAGACAACTTGTCATTACTTCTCCTGGTGCGTCGTCTGCAGGTAGCATGTCGGCGTGGAGTACATGGCGTACATTTGATGTTTGAAGCCTTCTTCATTGACAAAACTGAAAAATATAATTAATATATATATAATAACATACATTTATGTATATTAATATAAACTCCAAATATTGTAATGTGTGGTTCATTTTAATTGTATAACATATAACGAAACTGTTACCAAGAAGAGAACTTGTCATTACTTCTCCTGGTGCGTCGTCTGCAGGTAGCATGTCGGCGTGGAGTACATGGCGTACATTTGATGTTTGAAGCCTTCTTCATTGACAAAACTGAAAAATATAATTAATATATATATAATAACATATATTTGTATATTAATATAAACTCCAAATATTGTAATGTGTGGTTCATTTTAAATTGTATAACATATAACGAAACTGTTACCAAGAAGACAACTTGTCATTACTTCTCCTGGTGCGTCGTCTGCAGGTAGCATGTCGGCGTGGAGTACATGGCGTACATTTGATGTTTGAAGCCTTCTTCATTGACAAAACTGAAAATATAATTAATATATATATATATATATAATAACATATATTTATGTATATTAATATAAACTCCAAATATTGTAATGTGTGGTTCATTTTAAATTGTATAACATATAACGAAACTGTTACCAAGAAGACAACTTGTCATTACTTCTCCTGGTGCGTCGTCTGCAGGTAGCATGTCGGCGTGGAGTACATGGCGTACATTTGATGTTTGAAGCCTTCTTCATTGACAAAACTGAAAAATACAATTACATATATTTATGTATATTAATATAAACTCCAAATATTGTAATGTGTGGTTCATTTTAAATTGTATAACATATAACGAAACTCCTACCAAGAAGACAACTTGTCATTACTTCTCCTGGTGCGTCGTCTGCAGGTAGCATGTCGGCGTGGAGTACATGGCGTACATTTGATGTTTGAAGCCTTCTTCATTGACAAAACTGAAAAATATAATTAATATATATAATTAACATATATTTATGTATATTAATATAAACTCCAAATATTGTAATGTGTGGTTCATTTTAAATTGTATAACATATAACGAAACTGTTACCAAGAAGACAACTTGTCATTACTTCTCCTGGTGCGTCGTCTGCAGGTAGCATGTCGGCGTGGAGTACATGGCGTACATTTGATGTTTGAAGCCTTCTTCATTGACAAAACTGAAAAATATAATTATATATATATATATATATAACATACATATATTTATGTATATTAATATAAACTCCAAATATTGTAATGTGTGGTTCATTTTAAATTGTATAACATATAACGAAACTGTTACCAAGAAGACAACTTGTCATTACTTCTCCTGGTGCGTCGTCTGCAGATAGCATGTCGGCGTGGAGTACATGGCGTACATTTGATGTTTGAAGCCTTCTTCATTGACAAAACTGAAAAATATAATTAATATATATATAATAACATATATTTATGTATATTAATATAAACTCCAAATATTGTAATGTGTGGTTCATTTTAAATTGTATAACATATAACGAAACTGTTACCAAGAAGACAACTTGTCATTACTTCTCCTGGTGCGTCGTCTGCAGGTAGCATGTCGGCGTGGAGTACATGGCGTACATTTGATGTTTGAAGCCTTCTTCATTGACAAAACTGAAAAATATAAAAATATAATTACATATATTTATGTATATTAATATAAACTCCAAATATTGTAATGTGTGGTTCATTTTAAATTGTATAACATATAACGAAACTGTTACCAAGAAGACAACTTGTCATTACTTCTCCTGGTGCGTCGTCTGCAGATAGCATGTCGGCGTGGAGTACATGGCGTACATTTGATGTTTGAAGCCTTCTTCATTGACAAAACTGAAAAATATAATTAATATATATATAATAACATATATTTATGTATATTAATATAAACTCCAAATATTGTAATGTGTGGTTCATTTTAAATTGTATAACATATAACGAAACTGTTACCAAGAAGACAACTTGTCATTACTTCTCCTGGTGCGTCGTCTGCAGGTAGCATGTCGGCGTGGAGTACATGGCGTACATTTGATGTTTGAAGCCTTCTTCATTGACAAAACTGAAAAATATAATTACATATATTTATGTATATTTATATAAACTCCAAATATTGTAATGTGTGGTTCATTTTAAATTGTATAACATATAACGAAACTGTTACCAAGAAGACAACTTGTCATTACTTCTCCTGGTGCGTCGTCTGCAGGTAGCATGTCGGCGTGGAGTTCATGGCGTACATTTGATGTTTGAAGCCTTCTTCATTGACAAAACTGAAAAATACAATTACATATATTTATGTATATTAATATTAACTCCAAATATTGTAATGTGTGGTTCATTTTAAATTGTATAACATATAACGAAACTCTTACAAAGAAGACAACTTGTCATTACTTCTCCTGGTGCGTCGTCTGCAGGTAGCATGTCGGCGTGGAGTACATGGCGTACATTTGATGTTTGAAGCCTTCTTCATTGACAAAACTGAAAAATACAATTACATATATTTATGTATATTAATATAAACTCCAAATATTGTAATGTGTGGTTCATTTTAAATTGTATAACATATAACGAAACTGTTACCAAGAAGACAACTTGTCATTACTTCTCCTGGTGCGTCGTCTGTAGGTAGCATGTCGGCGTGGAGTACATGGCGTACATTTGATGTTTGAAGCCTTCTTCATTGACAAAACTGAAAAATACAATTACATATATTTATGTATATTAATATAAACTCCAAATATTGTAATGTGTGGTTCATTTTAAATTGTATAACATATAACGAAACTGTTACCAAGAAGACAACTTGTCATTACTTCTCCTGGTGCGTCGTCTGCAGGTAGCATGTCGGCGTGGAGTACATGGCGTACATTTGATGTTTGAAGCCTTCTTCATTGACAAAACTGAAAAATATAATTAATATATATATATATATATATATATATATATAATTACATATATTTATGTATATTAATATAAACTCCAAATATTGTAATGTGTGGTTCATTTTAAATTGTATAACATATAACGAAACTCCTACCAAGAAGACAACTTGTCATTACTTCTCCTGGTGCGTCGTCTGCAGGTAGCATGTCGGCGTGGAGTACATGGCGTACATTTGATGTTTGAAGCCTTCTTCATTGACAAAACTGAAAAATATAATTAATATATATATATATATATAATAACATATATTTATGTATATTAATATAAACTCCAAATATTGTAATGTGTGGTTCATTTTAAATTGTATAACATATAACGAAACTGTTACCAAGAAGACAACTTGTCATTACTTCTCCTGGTGCGTCGTCTGCAGGTAGCATGTCGGCGTGGAGTACATGGCGTACATTTGATGTTTGAAGCCTTCTTCATTGACAAAACTGAAAAATATAATTAATATATATATAATAACATATATTTATGTATATTAATATAAACTCCAAATATTGTAATGTGTGGTTCATTTTAAATTGTATAACATATAACGAAACTGTTACCAAGAAGACAACTTGTCATTACTTCTCCTGGTGCGTCGTCTGCAGGTAGCATGTCGGCGTGGAGTACATGGCGTACATTTGATGTTTGAAGCCTTCTTCATTGACAAAACTGAAAAATATAATTACATATATTTATGTATATTAATATAAACTCCAAATATTGTAATGTGTGGTTCATTTTAAATTGTATAACATATAACGAAACTGTTACCAAGAAGACAACTTGTCATTACTTCTCCTGGTGCGTCGTCTGCAGGTAGCATGTCGGCGTGGAGTACATGGCGTACATTTGATGTTTGAAGCCTTCTTCATTGACAAAACTGAAAAAATATAATTACATATATTTATGTATATTTATATAAACTCCAAATATTGTAATGTGTGGTTCATTTTAAATTGTATAACATATAACGAAACTGTTACCAAGAAGACAACTTGTCATTACTTCTCCTGGTGCGTCGTCTGCAGGTAGCATGTCGGCGTGGAGTTCATGGCGTACATTTGATGTTTGAAGCCTTCTTCATTGACAAAACTGAAAAAAAAATACAATTACATATATTTATGTATATTATATATTAACTCCAAATATTGTAATGTGTGGTTCATTTTAAATTGTATAACATATAACGAAACTCTTACAAAGAAGACAACTTGTCATTACTTCTCCTGGTGCGTCGTCTGCAGGTAGCATGTCGGCGTGGAGTACATGGCGTACATTTGATGTTTGAAGCCTTCTTCATTGACAAAACTGAAAAATACAATTACATATATTTATGTATATTAATATAAACTCCAAATATTGTAATGTGTGGTTCATTTTAAATTGTATAACATATAACGAAACTGTTACCAAGAAGACAACTTGTCATTACTTCTCCTGGTGCGTCGTCTGTAGGTAGCATGTCGGCGTGGAGTACATGGCGTACATTTGATGTTTGAAGCCTTCTTCATTGACAAAACTGAAAAATACAATTACATATATTTATGTATATTAATATAAACTCCAAATATTGTAATGTGGGGTTCATTTTAAATTGTATAACATATAACGAAACTGTTACCAAGAAGACAACTTGTCATTACTTCTCCTGGTGCGTCGTCTGCAGGTAGCATGTCGGCGTGGAGTACATGGCGTACATTTGATGTTTGAAGCCTTCTTCATTGACAAAACTGAAAAATATAATTAATATATATATAATAACATATATTTATGTATATTATATATAAACTCCAAATATTGTAATGTGTGGTTCATTTTAAATTGTATAACATATAACGAAACTGTTACCAAGAAGACAACTTGTCATTACTTCTCCTGGTGCGTCGTCTGCAGGTAGCATGTCGGCGTGGAGTACATGGCGTACATTTGATGTTTGAAGCCTTCTTCATTGACAAAACTGAAAAATATAATAATATATATATATATATATATAATAACATATATTTATGTATATTAATATAAACTCCAAATATTGTAATGTGTGGTTCATTTTAAATTGTATAACATAGAACGAAACTGTTACCAAGAAGACAACTTGTCATTACTTCTCCTGGTGCGTCGTCTGCAGGTAGCATGTCGGCGTGGAGTACATGGCGTACATTTGATGTTTGAAGCCTTCTTCATTGACAAAACTGAAAAATATAATTACATATATTTATGTATATTAATATAAACTCCAAATATTGTAATGTGTGGTTCATTTTAAATTGTATAACATATAACGAAACTCCTACCAAGAAGACAACTTGTCATTACTTCTCCTGGTGCGTCGTCTGCAGGTAGCATGTCGGCGTGGAGTACATGGCGTACATTTGATGTTTGAAGCCTTCTTCATTGACAAAACTGAAAAATATAATTAATATATATATAATAACATATATTTATGTATATTAATATAAACTCCAAATATTGTAATGTGTGGTTCATTTTAAATTGTATAACATATAACGAAACTGTTACCAAGAAGACAACTTGTCATTACTTCTCCTGGTGCGTCGTCTGCAGGTAGCATGTCGGCGTGGAGTACATGGCGTACATTTGATGTTTGAAGCCTTCTTCATTGACAAAACTGAAAAATATAATTAATATATATATAATAACATATATTTATGTATATTAATATAAACTCCAAATATTGTAATGTGTGGTTCATTTTAAATTGTATAACATATAACGAAACTGTTACCAAGAAGACAACTTGTCATTACTTCTCCTGGTGCGTCGTCTGCAGATAGCATGTCGGCGTGGAGTACATGGCGTACATTTGATGTTTGAAGCCTTCTTCATTGACAAAACTGAAAAATATAATTAATATATATATAATAACATATATTTATGTATATTAATATAAACTCCAAATATTGTAATGTGTGGTTCATTTTAAATTGTATAACATATAACGAAACTGTTACCAAGAAGACAACTTGTCATTACTTCTCCTGGTGCGTCGTCTGCAGGTAGCATGTCGGCGTGGAGTACATGGCGTACATTTGATGTTTGAAGCCTTCTTCATTGACAAAACTGAAAAATATAATTACATATATTTATGTATATTAATATAAACTCCAAATATTGTAATGTGTGGTTCATTTTAAATTGTATAACATATAACGAAACTGTTACCAAGAAGACAACTTGTCATTACTTCTCCTGGTGCGTCGTCTGCAGATAGCATGTCGGCGTGGAGTACATGGCGTACATTTGATGTTTGAAGCCTTCTTCATTGACAAAACTGAAAAATATAATTAATATATATATAATAACATATATTTATGTATATTAATATAAACTCCAAATATTGTAATGTGTGGTTCATTTTAAATTGTATAACATATAACGAAACTGTTACCAAGAAGACAACTTGTCATTACTTCTCCTGGTGCGTCGTCTGCAGGTAGCATGTCGGCGTGGAGTACATGGCGTACATTTGATGTTTGAAGCCTTCTTCATTGACAAAACTGAAAAATATAATTACATATATTTATGTATATTTATATAAACTCCAAATATTGTAATGTGTGGTTCATTTTAAATTGTATAACATATAACGAAACTGTTACCAAGAAGACAACTTGTCATTACTTCTCCTGGTGCGTCGTCTGCAGGTAGCATGTCGGCGTGGAGTTCATGGCGTACATTTGATGTTTGAAGCCTTCTTCATTGACAAAACTGAAAAATACAATTACATATATTTATGTATATTAATATTAACTCCAAATATTGTAATGTGTGGTTCATTTTAAATTGTATAACATATAACGAAACTCTTACAAAGAAGACAACTTGTCATTACTTCTCCTGGTGCGTCGTCTGCAGGTAGCATGTCGGCGTGGAGTACATGGCGTACATTTGATGTTTGAAGCCTTCTTCATTGACAAAACTGAAAAATACAATTACATATATTTATGTATATTAATATAAACTCCAAATATTGTAATGTGTGGTTCATTTTAAATTGTATAACATATAACGAAACTGTTACCAAGAAGACAACTTGTCATTACTTCTCCTGGTGCGTCGTCTGTAGGTAGCATGTCGGCGTGGAGTACATGGCGTACATTTGATGTTTGAAGCCTTCTTCATTGACAAAACTGAAAAATACAATTACATATATTTATGTATATTAATATAAACTCCAAATATTGTAATGTGTGGTTCATTTTAAATTGTATAACATATAACGAAACTGTTACCAAGAAGACAACTTGTCATTACTTCTCCTGGTGCGTCGTCTGCAGGTAGCATGTCGGCGTGGAGTACATGGCGTACATTTGATGTTTGAAGCCTTCTTCATTGACAAAACTGAAAAATATAATTATATATATATATATATATATATATATATATATATATATATAATTACATATATTTATGTATATTAATATAAACTCCAAATATTGTAATGTGTGGTTCATTTTAAATTGTATAACATATAACGAAACTGTTACCAAGAAGACAACTTGTCATTACTTCTCCTGGTGCGTCGTCTGCAGGTAGCATGTCGGCGTGGAGTACATGGCGTACATTTGATGTTTTGAAGCCTTCTTCATTGACAAAACTGAAAAATATAATTAATATATATATAATAACATATATTTATGTATATTAATATAAACTCCAAATATTGTAATGTGTGGTTCATTTTAAATTGTATAACATATAACGAAACTGTTACCAAGAAGACAACTTGTCATTACTTCTCCTGGTGCGTCGTCTGCAGGTAGCATGTCGGCGTGGAGTACATGGCGTACATTTGATGTTTGAAGCCTTCTTCATTGACAAAACTGAAAAATATAATTACATATATTTATGTATATTAATATAAACTCCAAATATTGTAATGTGTGGTTCATTTTAAATTGTATAACATATAACGAAACTGTTACCAAGAAGACAACTTGTCATTACTTCTCCTGGTGCGTCGTCTGCAGGTAGCATGTCGGCGTGGAGTACATGGCGTACATTTGATGTTTGAAGCCTTCTTCATTGACAAAACTGAAAAATATAATTACATATATTTATGTATATTTATATAAACTCCAAATATTGTAATGTGTGGTTCATTTTAAATTGTATAACATATAACGAAACTGTTACCAAGAAGACAACTTGTCATTACTTCTCCTGGTGCGTCGTCTGCAGGTAGCATGTCGGCGTGGAGTTCATGGCGTACATTTGATGTTTGAAGCCTTCTTCATTGACAAAACTGAAAAAATACAATTACATATATTTATGTATATTAATATTAACTCCAAATATTGTAATGTGTGGTTCATTTTAAATTGTATAACATATAACGAAACTCTTACAAAGAAGACAACTTGTCATTACTTCTCCTGGTGCGTCGTCTGCAGGTAGCATGTCGGCGTGGAGTACATGGCGTACATTTGATGTTTGAAGCCTTCTTCATTGACAAAACTGAAAAATACAATTACATATATTTATGTATATTAATATAAACTCCAAATATTGTAATGTGTGGTTCATTTTAAATTGTATAACATATAACGAAACTGTTACCAAGAAGACAACTTGTCATTACTTCTCCTGGTGCGTCGTCTGTAGGTAGCATGTCGGCGTGGAGTACATGGCGTACATTTGATGTTTGAAGCCTTCTTCATTGACAAAACTGAAAAATACAATTACATATATTTATGTATATTAATATAAACTCCAAATATTGTAATGTGGGGTTCATTTTAAATTGTATAACATATAACGAAACTGTTACCAAGAAGACAACTTGTCATTACTTCTCCTGGTGCGTCGTCTGCAGGTAGCATGTCGGCGTGGAGTACATGGCGTACATTTGATGTTTGAAGCCTTCTTCATTGACAAAACTGACATATATATATATATATATATATATATATATATATATATATATGTTATTATATATATATATATGTTATTATATATATATATATATATATATATATATATAATAACATATATTTATGTATATTAATATAAACTCCAAATATTGTAATGTGTGGTTCATTTTAAATTGTATAACATATAACGAAACTGTTACCAAGAAGACAACTTGTCATTACTTCTCCTGGTGCGTCGTCTGCAGGTAGCATGTCGGCGTGGAGTACATGGCGTACATTTGATGTTTGAAGCCTTCTTCATTGACAAAACTGAAAAATATAATTACATATATTTATGTATATTAATATAAACTCCAAATATTGTAATGTGTGGTTCATTTTAAATTGTATAACATATAACGAAACTGTTACCAAGAAGACAACTTGTCATTACTTCTCCTGGTGCGTCGTCTGTAGGTAGCATGTCGGCGTGGAGTACATGGCGTACATTTGATGTTTGAAGCCTTCTTCATTGACAAAACTGAAAAATATAATTACATATATTTATGTATATTAATATAAACTCCAAATATTGTAATGTGTGGTTCATTTTAAATTGTATAACATATAACGAAACTCTTACCAAGAAGACAACTTGTCATTACTTCTCCCGGTGCTTCGTCTGCAGGTAGCATGTCGGCGTGGAGTACATGGCGTACATTTGATGTTTGAAGCCTTCTTCATTGACTAAACTGAAAAATATAATTAATATATATATAATAACATATATTTATGTATATTAATATAAACTCCAAATATTGTAATGTGTGGTTCATTTTAAATTGTATAACATATAACGAAACTGTTACCAAGAAGACAACTTGTCATTACTTCTCCTGGTGCGTCGTCTGCAGGTAGCATGTCGGCGTGGAGTACATGGCGTACATTTGATGTTTGAAGCCTTCTTCATTGACAAAACTGAAAAATATAATTACATATATTTATGTATATTAATATAAACTCCAAATATTGTAATGTGTGGTTCATTTTAAATTGTATAACATATAACGAAACTGTTACCAAGAAGACAACTTGTCATTACTTCTCCTGGTGCGTCGTCTGTAGGTAGCATGTCGGCGTGGAGTACATGGCGTACATTTGATGTTTGAAGCCTTCTTCATTGACAAAACTGAAAAATATAATTACATATATTTATGTATATTAATATAAACTCCAAATATTGTAATGTGTGGTTCATTTTAAATTGTATAACATATAACGAAACTCTTACCAAGAAGACAACTTGTCATTACTTCTCCCGGTGCTTCGTCTGCAGGTAGCATGTCGGCGTGGAGTACATGGCGTACATTTGATGTTTGAAGCCTTCTTCATTGACTAAACTGAAAAAATATTAATTAATATATATATAATAACATATATTTATGTATATTAATATAAACTCCAAATATTGTAATGTGTGGTTCATTTTAAATTGTATAACATATAACGAAACTGTTACCAAGAAGACAACTTGTCATTACTTCTCCTGGTGCGTCGTCTGCAGGTAGCATGTCGGCGTGGAGTACATGGCGTACATTTGATGTTTGAAGCCTTCTTCATTGACAAAACTGAAAAAAATATAATTACATATATTTATGTATATTAATATAAATTCCAAATATTGTAATGTGTGGTTCATTTTAAATTGTATAACATATAACGTACCACCATAGTACCAGATCTGCTTTACTGAAAGTAACAGAGGATGTCCGAAACGCTATGGACAACAGAGAACTAACCATTTTAGTTCTCCTAGACTTCAGTAACGCTTTTAACTCAGTTGACTTCGACATCTTATTAGGAATCCTCTCTTCTCTCTCGATATCACCAACTGTTATTAAATGGTTCCAATCTTACCTCGTCGGACGTCGGCAGATGGTGAAATCTGATGAGAGCTGCTCTGATTGGAATGTCACATATGCCGGGGTTCCACAAGGCGGCGTCCTCTCTCCTTTGCTCTTCTCTATATTCATAGATAATATTTCCAAACATATTTCTTCTCCCTATCATCTCTATGCAGATGATTTGCAGCTTTATAGACATACTCCACTATCTACACTTGTGGTAGCTATCGAGGCTGTTAATAAGGAGTTGATATCTATACACAGATGGGCAAATGACTTCGGTTTGCTAGTGAACCCAAATAAATCTCAGGCGATAATTATTGGAAGCAAGCAACTCTACAAAAAAATTAATTTTGACACTTTACCCTGTATAATGTACGATGGGGTGACAATCCCATTGTTAGATCGGGTTAAAAACTTAGGTCTATTAATGGATTGTCATCTGTCGTGGACAGCTCAGGTGAGTGAGGTAAGTAGAAGAATTCACTCTACTCTTCATTCTCTTAAACGTCTGCAAAACTTCCTTCCTTTTAAAACTAAAATTATTCTTGCACAATCTCTCCTCCTTTCCTTACTCGACTACGGTGATGTTTGCTACTTAGATGCCACTGATGAGCTGCTCGATAAACTGGATAGACTTCAGAATTTATGCATCCGATTTATTTTCGGCTTGCGTAAATACGACCACATCTCTGTATTCCGCAGCAAATTAAAGTGGCTCCCTATCCGCTTCCGCCGGAATATGCATATTTTAACGTTAATGTACAATGTGTTCAAACATTCTTCTCCCCCGTACCTACTCGAACGTTTTAAATTTTCCTCCCCCAGAATCCTTCCTAATCACTCCTGTGTTGCACAAAATCCTCTTGATATCCCCTCCTTTAATACTAAATTCTATCGTAAATCCTTCTCCGTCCAAGGTGCAAAACTTTGGAACTCACTCCCACCTTCTGTTTACAAAGAGAGTCCAAGTGCATTTGCCTTTAAATATCGGCTTAAGAGACATCTTCTATCACTCTTACCTTAATATAATATGTAATGTTTATGTACTTATATATATTTATGTATATGTTGTATATATATATATATATATATATATTTATTGTGTTTATTTGTATATATTTATGTATATATCTATGTATGTATAATATCTGTATTTTATACTATTATATTTTTTTTTTGTATTCTTACATATATCTATATACCTCTTTTTTTCTTTTTTCCATTTCTCATTTTATTGTACCTTTTCCACATTTGTCTTCTCATTTCCTCTATCAAAAGGGTTTCTGGTAGAGATCTCTTTTAAGAGATAAGTTATCCTTTGTACATGACATTTCTTTTATAATACTCTAATGTAACTATTTTTTATGTTTGGTACATTAATAAATAAATAAATAAATAAATAAATAACGAAACTCTTACCAAGAAGACAACTTGTCATTACTTCTCCTGGTGCGTCGTCTGCAGGTAGCATGTCGGCGTGGAGTACATGGCGTACATTTGATGTTTGAAGCCTTCTTCATTGACAAAACTGAAAAATATAATTACATATATTTATGTATATTAATATAAACTCCAAATATTGTAATGTGTGGTTCATTTTAAATTGTATAACATATAACGAAACTGTTACCAAGAAGACAACTTGTCATTACTTCTCCTGGTGCGTCGTCTGCAGGTAGCATGTCGGCGTGGAGTACATGGCGTACATTTGATGTTTGAAGCCTTCTTCATTGACAAAACTGAAAAATATAATTACATATATTTATGTATATTAATATAAACTCCAAATATTGTAATGTGTGGTTCATTTTAAATTGTATAACATATAACGAAACTGTTACCAAGAAGACAACTTGTCATTACTTCTCCTGGTGCGTCGTCTGCAGGTAGCATGTCGGCGTGGAGTACATGGCGTACATTTGATGTTTGAAGCCTTCTTCATTGACAAAACTGAAAAAATATAATTACATATATTTATGTATATTAATATAAACTATAAAATATTGTAATGTGTGGTTCATTTTAAATTGTATAACATATAACGAAACTCTTACCAAGAAGACAACTTGTCATTACTTCTCCCGGTGCTTCGTCTGCAGGTAGCATGTCGGCGTGGAGTACATGGCGTACATTTGATGTTTGAAGCCTTCTTCATTGACTAAACTGAAAAATATATTTAATATATATATATATATAATAACATATATTTATGTATATTAATATAAACTCCAAATATTGTAATGTGTGGTTCATTTTAAATTGTATAACATATAACGAAACTGTTACCAAGAAGACAACTTGTCATTACTTCTCCTGGTGCGTCGTCTGCAGGTAGCATGTCGGCGTGGAGTACATGGCGTACATTTGATGTTTGAAGCCTTCTTCATTGACAAAACTGAAAAATATAATTACATATATTTATGTATATTAATATAAACTCCAAATATTGTAATGTGTGGTTCATTTTAAATTGTATAACATATAACGAAACTGTTACCAAGAAGACAACTTGTCATTACTTCTCCTGGTGCGTCGTCTGCAGGTAGCATGTCGGCGTGGAGTACATGGCGTACATTTGATGTTTGAAGCCTTCTTCATTGACAAAACTGAAAAATATAATTAATATATATATAATTACATATATTTATGTATATTAATATAAACTCCAAATATTGTAATGTGTGGTTCATTTTAAATTGTATAACATATAACGAAACTGCTACCAAGAAGAGAACTTGTCATTACTTCTCCTGGTGCGTCGTCTGCAGGTAGCATGTCGGCGTGGAGTACATGGCGTACATTTGATGTTTGAAGCCTTCTTCATTGACAAAACTGAAAAATATAATTACATATATTTATGTATATTAATATAAACTCCAAATATTGTAATGTGTGGTTCATTTTAAATTGTATAACATATAACGAAACTCTTACCAAGAAGACAACTTGTCATTACTTCTCCCGGTGCGTCGTCTGCAGGTAGCATGTCGGCGTGGAGTACATGGCGTACATTTGATGTTTGAAGCCTTCTTCATTGACAAAACTGAAAAATATAATTACATATATTTATGTATATTATTATAAACTCCAAATATTGTAATGTGTGGTTCATTTTAAATTGTATAACATATAACGAAACTCTTACCAAGAAGACAACTTGTCATTACTTCTCCTGGTGCGTCGTCTGCAGGTAGCATGTCGGCGTGGAGTACATGGCGTACATTTGATGTTTGAAGCCTTCTTCATTGACAAAACTGAAAAATATAATTACATATATTTATGTATGTATATTAATATAAACTCCAAATATTGTAATGTGCGGTTCATTTTAAATTGTATAACATATAACGAAACTCTTACCAAGAAGACAACTTGTCATTACTTCTCCCGGTGCTTCGTCTGCAGGTAGCATGTCGGCGTGGAGTACATGGCGTACATTTGATGTTTGAAGCCTTCTTCATTGACTAAACTGAAAAATATAATTAATATATATATAATAACACTAGCTTTCCGCCCGCAGCTTCGCCGCGTGGAGTTCGGTTATATCGCGTTTCCAAGAGAACCTTTCAAAAGTCTGGGATAAAAACTATCCTATGTTCTTTCTCAAGGTCAACTCTATCTCTGTACCGAATTTCATTAAAATCAGTTCAGTGGTTTAGGCGTGAAAGCGTAGCAGACAGACAGACAGACAGACAGACAGACAGAGTTACTTTCGCATTTATAATATTAGTAGGGATATATTTATGTATATTAATATAAACTCCAAATATTGTAATGTGTGGTTCATTTTAAATTGTATAACATATAACGAAACTGTTACCAAGAAGACAACTTGTCATTACTTCTCCTGGTGCGTCGTCTGCAGGTAGCATGTCGGCGTGGAGTACATGGCGTACATTTGATGTTTGAAGCCTTCTTCATTGACAAAACTGAAAAATATAATTACATATATTTATGTATATTAATATAAACTCCAAATATTGTAATGTGTGGTTCATTTTAAATTGTATAACATATAACGAAACTGTTACCAAGAAGACAACTTGTCATTACTTCTCCTGGTGCGTCGTCTGCAGGTAGCATGTCGGCGTGGAGTACATGGCGTACATTTGATGTTTGAAGCCTTCTTCATTGACAAAACTGAAAAAAATATAATTAATATATATATAATTACATATATTTATGTATATTAATATAAACTCCAAATATTGTAATGTGTGGTTCATTTTAAATTGTATAACATATAACGAAACTGCTACCAAGAAGAGAACTTGTCATTACTTCTCCTGGTGCGTCGTCTGCAGGTAGCATGTCGGCGTGGAGTACATGGCGTACATTTGATGTTTGAAGCCTTCTTCATTGACAAAACTGAAAAATATAATTACATATATTTATGTATATTAATATAAACTCCAAATATTGTAATGTGTGGTTCATTTTAAATTGTATAACATATAAACGAAACTCTTACCAAGAAGACAACTTGTCATTACTTCTCCCGGTGCGTCGTCTGCAGGTAGCATGTCGGCGTGGAGTACATGGCGTACATTTGATGTTTGAAGCCTTCTTCATTGACAAAACTGAAAAATATAATTACATATATTTATGTATATTATTATAAACTCCAAATATTGTAATGTGTGGTTCATTTTAAATTGTATAACATATAACGAAACTCTTACCAAGAAGACAACTTGTCATTACTTCTCCTGG